GCACAACATCACAGAGATGGTCGTGGCTACCCCATGGCACCATCACCGCTTATTGGAACATTGTCCTGACAAACACACAATCTTGAAGTAGGTAGAAGAAATGCATAAGGCTTTGGCTGAACATCGGGTGCCCCTAAATACATTGGATTTAAACCTCTTGCATGTGGAAGGTTTTGATTCTGAAATCTGATCATCTCCTGCCCACTGGAAAACTATGGCTGCAGATTCTCATTGATACATTTGAAACTCTTGCTTCCCATTTGAGTCATTCTTTGGGTATGTTGTTTCAGAATTTCTCAGAGACTCTTGCTCAAACATTCCGATCGATGCAAAACATCGAAGAATCGCGCTGGGTTTGAGCACTCAAACGGTCTATGAATTTCCATGTCTCATTGGACGGACAAAGCAACCAAAGCCTGCCAACTCTCACGTCAATTCTGATCCTTTTCGGGAGTGGGGAACCAAAAAAAAAGATTGATCGTGCGCATCATGTTTTCGTCAAGACCTAAAGAACTCTCAGAATGAACTCATCACCCACACTCTCTTTCTAGGTATATCCGAAAATTGTCTAACTACCTGTAATCCATGGAATGATAATTAATCAGTTTCCCTAGTCTAATAATATAATGCAACTATTTGGGGGGTATACCCTATGTTCAGAGACACCCTTCTAACTGGACCTGAAACCCATGTTTTGAGAAGAATCTTGGTGGAATTTCTGGGGGAACCCTGATGAAACCCGATTCCCAGCAGAAATTTCCCAAAATTCCCATGTTCGATGCCCCGTTTTTCAGGGAAAATGAACTGGGAGGATTTCGTTGGAGAAATGTCCCTCTGAGGTTCAATGAACTGAGGTTTCATGAGAATTTCTTGTGCAAGAAACAACTGCATTGAGAAATGTCATGTTTCTTTTCAAGGAATACTACGTTTAAAAGGAAAAACCTACATATGTTGAGGAAATACAACTTCTTTACAAACATATTGTCCTGTCTTAAAGGAATGCTGCACACATTTGGTACACTTCAAGAAAATTCTTCAAATTCAACATGCTTCCTGAGCGGAAACATGATTGGCAATTCACCACCCAAGGGATGAAATAGCTTGAAATTTCATCAGATCAGAAAAAATCCCCGTTCTTCCACCAATATTCAACAATTCTGAATGGTCAATATCTATCAATATCAATACTAATGGGCAGTTATCCATGTATATCCACATATATTCACCAATATCCACATATATCCACCAATATTCACATATATCCACATATATCCACACGCATAGGATCCATGTATGGTATATATGCTAACATTTGGGGTATATTGATGGGATCCATGTTACCATATATAGCAGCACCATGGATCCTATGGGATATATCCACCAATATGCACCAATGTCTATTGGATATTGACCATTCGTAAATCACCAGTCGCTTCACCACGTTGACGTCCCACCGCTTGCCAACCAGCCATTGCCAGCCTCCAAGTTTGGCGCCGGGAACGAAGGCCGGCGGCATGAGGAAGTTCTTCACCTGGGAGAAAGGTGTGTAACACCTGCGCGGCCTGCGCGTTTTATCTGTGTATATACACATGGGAGATTCCATCTACAAATGGATGATTTGCGGGTTCCCCTATTTTAGGAAATGCCCATATTTATTTATACATACATGATTTAAACTGGTTCAAACATATTTGAGTAGATAAATATGAGAACATATATATGCACGTGTTGCAAGTGTACGGACTATGTATTATCTTCATGGGTGTATATGCACAAATGTATTTATGTCCATATGTCTAGCTCTTGGGTCCTCCTTGTCACCCCTTCAAGGCCCCCGTGCTTCATTGTTTAGGTGTGGTTTTTGATATGCAAGATGTAACCAGATTGAAACCCTCAATGCCCATCCTTTCCTCATAGAATTCAGAGTCACTCCACTCTTCTCGTACTGCTCCTGTCAGCTCAATGGTGAGGCTGGGAAAATTGTGATGGCCCTTGGCCCCTTGGTTTTCTTCCAGTAAAATATCATGGCAAAGTCTATCACTTTTAATTCATGAGTCTATCATTATATATATATATACAATATTTTATATAAATATGTAATCATATATATATATAATTATATAATCGGATATAATGGGTATTAACTAGCAACACTTGAAATGGTGCTTGAACTTTGGATCCGCTGGGTTGTATCCCCAGCATGTCCCAGCAGTGGTCCACTGGGATTGAATCGATGGGGATAAAATCGGATTTTTAACCAACCACACTAGATACTCCTTTTTTAGAATCCTGGTGTAGATCTAGATCTATTCATCCCGCGATATGGGAAGTGTGATGACTTGTACTGGCAGCTCTTCTAGAGATTGCAATTTTAAGTACTCCATTTGGTGGTGATACCCCAAACAGAGATGGAGTACTCGGTTCAAACTGTTGCATCTCTACATATAATACACATATCTACCTCCCATTCATACAAGTGTGTCCACTCCCATACACCATCAAAGTGCTTATTTATCACCACCATTGCCCGTTGTATTCCTGTCATTTCTGCCTAACTTGCCTGCAACATCCTCGTTTGATCGGTTGCATTCCCATCTGTCCTGCTTCTCAAAAATTGGTTGGTTATACAGGTATGGCTCGAAATTGTCAACCCCAATTGTTGGATGGTTAGATGCTCAAAATAACGACTTTTTTTGGAACCGTGCATGTTAAGTTGGTTTATTACTAGGCCAATTCATGCCAATTCTATGCTCCATGGTGGATACATCTATATCATGCTATTTCTATAGTTGGTGTTCTAAACCACCTTATATGTCATAAATATGTTTATATCTATAGTTAGATGGTATTTCATAATTTTCATGAGTTAAATAGGTCCTAACTAATTAGATTGTGTTTCACCAAGAAAAAATGACCGTTTTCTATATAGCAAACCGTTAGTTTACCAGAGGGTAAATCCCAATTCATATGTAAAACAATGTCAAATCATTAAATATTATATATATGTTCAACGAATATTTATGAGTTAAATATACTGTAGTTAAATCATGTTAAAACCTGTACCCTCTGGTAAACTAACATAGCTATATCAAAATGGCCCATTTATAGATGGTTTACCTATTAAAAATGGTGGATCTTTCCATGGTTATGTTAAATAACCAGATGGTAGATATTAACCAATAATGGATGGTTAATAATAGATGGATAATGATAGATGATAGATTTTGATAAATGTTAGTGATTTACCTATTAAATGCTGATTTTCCATGATTTACCGATAAATTAATGGTTAGGTTAGTTTCCCAAAGGGTAAATCTCCATTAAACACCATCAAACACCATTAAGCCACCATCAACCACCATCAGTTTCCATAAATGTTAGTGATTTACCCATTAAAAATGCTGATTTACCTATTAAACATGGTGATTTACCTATCAAAAATGGTGGATCTTTCCATGGGTTTTTTGTATGTTTCCCAAAGGGTAAATCCCTCTGGTTATTTAACATAGCCATGGTATAGATGGCCCATAGAAATAGATGGTTTACCGTTCTCAAAAATGGCGGATCTTTCCATCAGTTTCCCAAAAGGGTAAATCCCATTAAACATAGCTATGGAAAATCACCATTTTTAATGGGAAAATCCACTATAAATAGCAATTTTCCATTGCTATGTTAGTTCACCAGAGGGTAAACCACCATTAAACCACCATTTTTCCATGATTCGCTTCGCTTCGCCGGTCCTGCAGGCGCATGGCATTCCGCACCTCTGTGAGACCAGGCACCGGGGGACGCACCGCCTTTCGCGATTTGCGCCATGAATCGTGGTGATTTCATTGGGGATTTTATGGGACTTAATGGTGATTTCATGAGATTTCCATGGGAATTTCTTCGTGGGATTTAGGAAATCTCATGGGAAAAAAATATGGGAATATCCATGGGAAGATCATCCTTGTCTATCTATAGATTGAAACTGCTTGGTTTACGTGACGTGTCACGGTGAAATTAGGGATTTAAGAAGGATATATAGCAACAATATTAGAATATTAGAGGCATCTATCTAATAACAAGGATATTTATGCTTGAGGATATCTGGTTGGTGGTTTCAACCCCTCTGAAAAATATGAGTTCGTCAATTGGGATGATGACATTCCCGGAATGGAAAATTAAAGGCCATGTTCCAAACCACCAACCAGTATAATTAGATTGAAATCCTTATGCATACCAGGATCACTCTGATTGAACACTAACTAATCAATTGGATGATGGATGACGGAAAACTAGCTCCAAGATCATGGTTTGAATCATGTGCCCCTAAACAGCGCCACAAGTTGGGAAAACCTGACAGCAGTGAGGGTGGGACCTGAGCAAAACATTAAAATGTACCCTTTGGTTATTTAATATAGCTCTGGAAAATGTCTACTTTAAAAAATGATGAGTTTCCATAGCTAGCCTAAATAACTAGGATGTCCATAAATACATTATCAATGACAAGGCTGAGGGCCACGAAATTCATTTCATCCACTACTGTATTCAATTTGTCGATCTATTCCGAAATATATCGTTCATGAAACTTCAACCACCCCCTCCAAGAACAAAGAAAAACTTGTCTGCGTGGCTTTCCCTTGGCCCATGTTTTGAGCAAAACAACCATATTCATACAATTCTCAAAATTCCCCCGTGAATTGGGATGGTTTCCCTTCCGTTCATAAACCATCAATAAACCATCCGTTTATATAACTATTGACTCTATCAATTAAGGATTAACCTACCATTGTTGACCAATAACAACCCACGATATCAACAACAATTGTCTAATTAACAATAATAATAATCATCATCATCATCATCATCAAAATCTCAAATTCTCCTAATATTCACCAATATTCACCCATCCATTTTCACCATACCACCCCCACCCATCGTTACCCCACCGTTCACCCGGCCCCTTTAAACGTTTTACCCGGCGCACCCGGCAGCCCACGACTCCACGACTCCACCGTTCAACGGTCCTGCGTGAGGATCTTGGTGGCGGCGCTGTTGGAGCTGCTGGAGCCGTGGGTGGCCAGCCAGACGCTCAAAATGCCGAAGGTGATGGCGCTGAAGACCGAGTTGTTCCTAAAGGGTGATCAATCATTACCAGATCTGTTGGGATGCCACCTAGTATATCTATGGGAATATCTATGGGGAATATCTATATATATATATATATATCTGTGGGGGATATCTATATCTGTGGGAATATCTATGGCTGGGATTCTGTTGCTGTTGGTTGGTTTGGTTAATAGCAAAATGGTTGTGGGAATATCTATGGGAATATCTATGGCTGGGAGTTGTTCCTCAAGGGTGATCTGTTCCAACGGTGGGTTCCTCAAGGGGACACAATGGGAATATCTATGGGGAATATATATATATATATACTTATCATTGTTAAGGTTATATGGGATGCCACCCAGTATATCTATGGGAATATCTATGGGGAATATCTATATCTGTGAGGAATATCTGAAGACCGAGTTGTTCCTAAAGGGTGATCTGGAACAGGAATATTTCTATGGGAATGTTTATTTGGGAATATCTGGATCAATCATTACCAGGAATATCTATGGGAATATCTACGGGAATATCTGTTGGGAATATCTGTTGGGAATGTTCCTATGGGAATGTTGATTTGGGAATATCTGGATCAATCATTACCAGGAATATCTATGGGAATATCTACGGGAATATCTGTTGGGAATATCTGTTGGGAATGTTTCTATGGGAATGATTATTTGGGAATATCTGGATCAATCATTACCAGGAATATCTATGGGAATATCTACGGGAATATCTGTTGGGAATATCTGTTGGGAATGTTCCTATGGGAATGTTTATTTGGGAATATCTGGATCAATCATTACCAGGAATATCTATGGGAATATCTACGGGAATATCTGTTGGGAATATCTGTTGGGAATGTTCCTATGGGAATGTTTATTTGGGAATATCTGGATCAATCATTACCAGGAATATCTATGGGAACATCTACGGGAATATCTGTTGGGAATATCTGTTGGGAATATCTGTTGGGAATGTTTCTATGGGAATGTTTATTTGGGAATATCTGGATCAATCATTACCAGGAATATCTATGGGAATATCAATGGGAATATCTATGGGCCGGAATATCTATGGGAATATCTATGGGAATATCAATGGGAATATCTATGGGAATATCTAGAGGAATATCAATGGGAATATCTATGGGAATATCTATGGGAATATCTATGGGAATATCTATGGGAATATCAATGGGAATATCTATGGGAATATCAATGGGAATATCTATGGGAATATTTATAGGAATATCAATGGGAATATCAATGGGAATATCAATGGGAATATCAATGGGAATATCAATGGGAATATCAATGGGAATATCAATGAGAATATCAATGGGAATATCAATGGGAATGGGAATATCTATGGGAATATCTATGGGAATATCTATGGGAATATCTATGGGAATATCTATGGGAATATCTATGGGAATATCAATGGGGAATATCTATGGGAATATCTATGGGAATATCTATGGGAATATCAATGGGAATATCTATGGGAATACCAATGGGAATACCAATGGGAATATCAATGGGAATATCTATGGGAATATCAATGGGAATATCTATGGGAATATCTATGGGAATATCTATGGGAATATCTATGGGAATATCTATGGGAATGTTTATAGGAATATCAATAGGAATATCTATGGGAATATCTATGGGAATATCTATGGGAATATCTATGGGAATATCTATGGGAATATCTAGAGGAATATCAATGGGAATATCTATGGGAATATCTATGGGAATATCAATGGGAATATCAATGGGAATATCTATGGGAATATCAATGGGAATATCTATGGGAATATTTATAGGAATATCTATGGGAATATTTATAGGAATATCTATGGGAATATCTATGGGAATATCAATGGGAATATCAATGGGAATATCAATGGGAATATCAATAGTAAAATCAATGGGAATATCTACGGGAATATCAATGGGAATATCTATGGGAATATCTATGGGAATATCTATGGGCCGGAATATCTATGGGAATATCTATGGGAATATCTATGGGAATATCTATGGGAATATCAATGGGAATATCAATGGGAATATCTATGCGAATATCAATGGGAATATCTATGGGAATATCAATGGGAATATCTATGGGAATATTTATAGGAATATCAATGGGAATATCAATGGGAATATCAATGGGAATATCAATGGGAATATCAATGGGAATATCAATTGGAATATCAATGGGAATATCTATGGGAATATCTATGGGAATATCTATGAGAATATCTATGGGAATATCTATGGGAATATCAATGGGAATATCTATGGGAATATCTATGGGAATATCAATGGGAATATCTATGGAAAATCTATAGGAATATCTGGATCAATCATTACCAGTTATATATATATATACATAACCAGGAGATGTATATATTACCAGTTATAATATTACATATCGTGATATAATGTGGGAATATATATATATATATATAGTCAATGGGAAGGAATATCTATGGGAATATCTGTTGGGAATATCTATGTGAATATCTATGGGAATATGTTGGAAAATATGGGAATATCTATGGCTGGTTGGTGGTTGCAATAACAAATCTTGAAAAATATGACTTCGTCAATGGGAAGGATTACATCTCATATATGAAATGAAAAAATGTAAAATGTTTGACACCGCCAACCAGGTTGGGTTGGTTGTTGCTGTTTGGGGGGTTGCGTTTTTTGAAAAAATGTAAGCAGAAAAATACAAAATGGTTCTTCCTCGGCTCTTTGTTGCTGTTGATTGGTGTTGTTTGTTATGAAAAAAACGGTCAGGAAAAAATGGAGTACGTCTCTGTTGGTTGGTTTGGTTTGGTTTGCTTTGGTTTGGCTTGGCTTGGCTTGGTTTGGTTTGGCTTGGCTTGGTTTGGTTGCTTTGGGTTGTTGGTTGGTTGAAAAATGTTGGGGAAGATAGCAAAATGGTTGTTCCTCGGCTCTTTGTTGCTGTTGATTGCTGTTGTGTGTTTTGAAAAAAATGTCAGGAAAAAATGGAGTATGTCTCTGTTGGCTGGTTTGGTTTGGTTTGGTTTGGTTTGGTTTGGTTTGGTTTGGTTTGGTTTGGTTTGGTTGCTTTGGGTTGTTGGTTGGTTGAAAAAATGTTGGGAAAAATAGCAAGATGGTTGTTCCTCGGCTCTTTGTTGCTGTTGTTTGGTTTGGTTGGTTCGTTTGGTTATATAGTTGCTTTGGGTTGTTGATGCTGTTGGTCGGTTGAAAAAATGTTAGGAAAAATAGCAAAATAGTTGTTCCTCGGCTCTTTGTTGCTGTTGATTGCTGTTGTTTGGTTTGAAAAATGTTTGGGAAAAATTAACAATTGGGAGTCCAGTTGATGGCTTTGGGGCTGTTGCTTTGGTGTTTTGTTGGGGGGTTGCTTGTTTTTAGACAAATGTAAGGAAAAACATACAAAATGGTTGTTCCTCGGGTCTGTTGCTTTGGTTTGGGGTTGTTGGTTATTGTTTGAAAAACTTGTGGGAAAAATACCAAAATTTGGAGTGTCTTCCATGGTTGTTGGGGAGTTTGAAAATTCAATTCAATTCAATTCAATTCAATTCAATTCAGTCTATATTGTATGAAATTATATATGTGATGTTTATGTAATGTTTATATACTAATGCATAGAAATATATTATGTAAGTTTTGCATCTGTTGCAAGATATACTGATATGCCTACTATGCTACTACGGTAATTTTACATACAACATGTTCCAACCATTCCATTTCTCTTTCCACAAACTGTTCGAATGTCCGAAGTTGGGAGATACAAAGAAACTGGTCCATTAGAAAAGTGTTTTCACAAGACTGTCCATTGACCAATATCATAATGTCACTGTATGTTAGTTGATATTAGTTGTTATCGCCTGATTTTGGTTGATGTTGTTCCAGGTGAATACCCTCTCACAAGCTACTGTATATGGACAGAAAACTCTCAGGGGAGGCGGAGTTTGCCAGCCAGGGCTGTTGCCAAACACGAGGCCATGTTCGCTATCTAAAATGACCGGAGGCGAATTCTCCATGGTCATTTAGCACTCAAAACATCTAAGTGCCTGGTTATCCCAGGGTGACAACGACAACGGTTCGTTGAAAGCGCCGTTCGTTCCGCCAGGCTTCCAGATCAACAGCAGCCATGGCGGTTCCATGGGAAACTCCTGGTGGGTCAGCGTTGTCCACTTCGCGATATATGTTGGTTTACCAGAGGGTCTCCCCAGTTACTACGAGTACCTGGTTATGATTAACATAGCCATGGAAAGATCCACCCATTTTTAAGAGCGGTAAACCATCTATTTCTATGGGCCATGGCTTCCATGGCAAACTGTTTGTCATTACCAGAGGCTACAATAGTTTTTACCATCTAAGTGGGGGAAATGATGATAAGAATCGGGAAATGATAAGTTATCCATTGCCCATTGAAATGCGGAAATGATATGAAAAAGATGCGATTTCATGGGACTTGGGGTTACCCAAATCTTTCAGAGAAAGCAAAAAAAAAACACGTGGGGATTCCAAGCCTTTCGAAGCTGCGTTTTTTAAAGCCCAACCCACCAGCCATCATAGCTGTATTGACGTGCCCCTAGCAGGAGTTGATGGGTTTTTTTTGTTCATTCGGAAGCCTACAGCCATTGGTTACCATCAAAAACGGGATCAACTGGGCATAGTTCACCTACAAAATTGGGATGAAAACTTGCCTTGCCTTAAGGTATCAAAACACCTCATTTTCCGCAACCAAAAAAGTGGAGAAAAGTACAAAAAGTTTGTGGCGCTTTTTCTACGGATTTGTGTTTTCGTCGGCGGCTAAGATCAAAATTTATTGGATACAATGAGGGCCCAGCCTGGTATCCGACGAAGATGAAGCCAATGATACAGGTGACAAGCAAAGATCCCACGACCATGTAGGTGTTCCTGGCCGCTGCCAAAAGGTTCCTACCAATGAGCTGGGGAAAGTGGGCCACTATAATCAGTATGATCAGATCTTGCAGCAAAATATCATCAAAACATGCAAAACAACTTTCCTGAGGTATACTGTAATTCGTATATATATATATATGTATCAAGATTATCAACCATAGCCATACAATCAACATTATTATAACCTTATCCAACATTAACCATTTCAGGGCAGGTCATTGTAACGTGATCAAAACTGGCAGGAGATATATCAAGATTTAATTCTCCGATACAATCGGAAAACATGTCCGTCACCAAATGAAAACTGGCCCCGGAAGCAACCTTTGTCTATCCCTTACTTACTTGGCTCATAATATCTCATAATCACACCTCCATACAGTATGATTGATAATTTCACACGTAAATCACCGCAAATCATTGATGTTGCTCAAAACTGTAACTACCTATCACTTTTATAGTTTAGTTCGCTGGAAAATAGTCATCCTTAACTTTTGCTGTTGAAGTTTTCCAGGTCTAGCGCCCCTTTTTTTGCGTTGCGGCAAGGTGCATGTTTGAGGTCGTCAGCTCGAAGAGGTCCCTGACATCTTCTCCTCAGGGACGATGTCAAAGCTTCCCACAAAACAGGATCAGCGACCCGGCAAGGTGGTTTTCAATGTCCCGGATGAATTGCTAAACCATGGTTTATGGTGGTTGATGGTGGTTAATGGTGGTTAATGGTTGATGTATTGAAACCACCAACCAGTAAACCATGGTTTATTAATTGTGGGGGTACTCCTCCAATAGTCAGAATCTGATACATAAATGGTATCCCCCCCAATTCAACAGCCTGGGGGGTTATTAATCCAGGGTTGACATTACTAGTGATACTGCCGAATTGTTTCTGCGAACCCCAAAGGGGGGAAAAACCCGAAGCAGCAGCGGCTGCCTCTTTCTTGAGCCATCCAAAAGGTAGCGTGTCATCGCTTGTGCAGGGTAGCGTGTCATCGCTTGTGCAGGGGCCATGCCAGTGAGATGACTGAAGCATGTAAAACCCCTGAGACATGTGAACACTTCTTGATTTGTGCGTGTCCATCCAAATTGAAAATGCCACCACACTCCCCTATGTTGCGACACAGCAACATGTCGGTGGCAGCCCAAAATGCCAGACCAAAGCTTCGTTGGCTGGTCTTGGGAAAGGAAAAAAGGGAAGCTCTGCTACATGTCCTCCTCCTCGTTCTCGGGAGTCTCAGCAGCGTCCACGTTCTCCTCCTCAGACACCAGGGAGTAGTCATCACTGGTGTTGGCTTCAGACTCCAATGCCTCCTCCTGGAAGCTTTCAGCCTCTTCCAAGCCCTCCGGGGGAGGATTCAATCGCCGTTCGGCCTGGTATGGAGTGCCCAGGGCCTTGGCGACCAAGGTAGGCCGGTTAGCCCATGCTCCAGCCACGGACCCCCGCGGGGTAATCAGCCCCGGGTCCCCTCGTGTGGCCCACTCCCCAGGGATCACCGTAGAGCTCGACGATGCCAAGCCACCTGGGTTCTGCTCTGGAGGTCGCATTGCCACCCTCAAAGAAGCCAGCAGCGGGTTTTCACCAGGTCGATCTTCAGCTCCAGTTGGGATGACCCCCATAGGTCCTGCTCCCATCGACATAGATCCGGCCGAAGTCATCCGGCCTTCTTCTCGAGCATCGATCGGCCCACCAATGCCCATAGCGGCTCTTCCACGAGGTCCAGGTCCAGGTCGGCCCCGAGGACGGTCTCCTTCAGCTTCTGCAGGCGCCTGATACCGGCCATACTTATGAGTTGGCCTGCAGTACCCCTCAGCCATCGGCTTCGGTGCAGCTCCAGCCCCGGGTGGTGGATTGACACTCGACAGGCCACCCTGCCCTGCACCGCCAGGAGGCGGACCAGTTGGAAGCGATCCCGCCATCCCATGAGGTGGTGGACCCGCTGGCGGTGGTCCTGGCATTGCATGGTGTACTGGAACTGCTGGTGGTTTGGCCATACGGTTCATCCAACCCTGCATATTCTGTCGCTGGAACCAAGCCTGAGGTGGTGGTTTTCTTCCAGGTTGGACCATCCCGTGCTCAAACGGAACCCCTGGGTCAGCCTCCTCTTCTTCGGTGCTTTCTCTGACCCCAGGTGGTGGGTAAGCACTTGACATGCCACCCTGCTTCACCATCGGTGGTAGGTTCTCCTCGCTCCAGGTCACCACATCAGGTCGGATCCTGGGCAACCCTGAGCTGTTGGCCCCACTCTGGTCGCCCTCCTTGATCCTGAAAAAGGTGAAGCCCTTCCACTGTCCAACCCCTGGCACAGGCTGGCTTCCAAAGCCCCAGTAGTCGCAGTGCACCTGCCGGGTCCAGGGTCGACCACCGGTGCAATGCCATATCACCGTCGTCCTTTCCGGCTCCAAGTCCTCACACCTCACAGGGGTGCTTGTGTGCACCGGGTGGTACAGCCTGGATTGGAGTCCACCGTGGACCCTGACCCACCACCCACCAGTCAAGCTGCGCCAGCGGTCACTGCTTCCCGTCGGCAGCTCTGGAACTCTGCGTCATCCCATGGACCGCTCCACGATCCAGCAGCCATGGCTCCACGCACCGCACAAAGGCGAGGCACGATTGGGGAGCCTGTGAGGCTACAGTCGGAAGTAGGTTCAGTAGGGTTAGTAGGGCCTGGTTCATTTTCCCTAGGCCTCTTTTCTTGGTTTTGTGCTGGTCTTGGTTCCTTCTTTTCTTCAACTGGTTTAGCCATAGATGCCAGCCCTTCCATGCAACACATCCATGCTGTCAAAGCTGACAAGCTCACAGCTCCAGCCGTTTTCACAAGACTGCTCGCCCCATGTTGGAGCATCAAACCTCCTAAGGCTACCACCGCCTCTGTTAGGCGACACAAACGGGATGATTCAGTCGGCTGCACGAACCTAACTAGGCCTACAGTCCTACGAAAAACTTCCCAGCTCGCCATCAGCACCACAGGCTTCGTGAGGAGGTCTGCTGCAAGCTCTGAGCCAGGGGTGTGCTGAACCCGCCATTCTCGTGCTGCCAGTCGCTCCCTCAAGACGAAGCTTCTCAGTCTCAAATGTCTGGTTCTCCAAGGGCCATCCGGAGCCAAAAGAAGCTGGATCCCTGACAGGTTGTCTCCTCGAATCTCAAACTGGCCACTCTCCACCAGGTCGTTGTGCTCCAACACGTTGAGGATCACCTGCAAGGACTCACCCATCGTCAGCGCATCCACATAGCCGATCAACTCAGCTTCTGTGCTGCTAAGGGCTGCAAAAGGCTGCCTTCGGCTTTCCCATTGGACCAAGGCATTTCCCCACAGCGCCAGGATTCCTTGGCACCCTCGAAGTCCTTGTGGAGCATGAGATGCATCGGAAAGGAGTGTCACCTTCCTCAAGTCACCATTCGGCCGCCCTTGGTCATCCAGGCAGCTGCCATAGGAAAGCACCATGTCCACGGTCTCCTGCAAGTAGCCCAGAACATGCCGACCCAATTCTTTGACTCTCCTTGGACATCTCGTGACCCATCCACTCAGCGTTGAAATTGCAAATGCAAGGTCTGGTCTCGTTCTGCCACTCAGCCAGAGGAGTTCACCCAGCAGTTGTTGGCACTGCTTCACCGCATCAGGATCCGGGCTCTCCTCCTCTTCCGGGACCAAGTCGATCTTTGGCAAAGGGACCTGTCGGCCAGGAACTGGACCGTGGCGCTCCAAAAGCTCCCGGGCAAAATCTGGCTGACCAAGCAAGAGGGTATCTCCTTGCCATCTCAACTGCATTCCACAAAACTTCAACCACCGGGTATCACCAACCCATTCCACTTCAGAGCAGGTCCACTCCTTGCGAACCCTAGCCAACGTGGATTCAACGACTTCCCTGGGCCCAGCGCACAAGACATCGTCCACATAGACAATGAGGAAGCCAAGTGGGTTGGCATAGGCATCGTCATTGAGGTTTGGAGTGGGATACTGCTCCTTGGGCACTCCCATGATCGACCAAATGTTGGGCTCCGGCGATCTGGCCAAGTGACATCTGTGGGTCTGTGTTTCCCACCTGAAGGTTCCCAGATGCCGATCCCTGAAAGTGGCCCAATCAGCTGGCGATGTGTCTAAGCCATACATGGCTCCATCGCAGATCCATCTTTCGTCCAAACCCACCAGTCCTGTCGAAGTCAACAATCTCGGGGGCTCCACAACTAATAACTGCCTCCTCGATTGTGACCTCGGGGCCAAGAGAAAAGCCCCCCGCACATCCGTGGATGCTAAGGCCCATCCCTCTCCAGCTGATTTGCGTAGGACGCACCTCAGAGCCGTTGCGTCCACCCCACCTGCATATTGATCGGCAGTGGTGGATTGGCTGCTGCCTCCACCTCGATCACCACCAGATCCATGCCCTCGACCTCCAGGCACTTGAGAAGGTAGAGGGTCTCCATGAGGATCTTCACGGCCTTGATTTCCATCATCCGGAAGCTGAGGCGCCTTCACATGTCCAGCAGGATGCACCATGTTGCCGCATATGACAATTCTGGCCTTTCTCTTCCCAGACGGGGATTTGATGGTTGGGACAACCTTCGCAGGGGCCACCTCCATCCTGTCGTAGCCCGGCTCACATGCCAGCTGCTCCAGTTTCACCCTTCTGATAGTTCCCGAACTCACCAAGGCTTCCAATTCCGCCTGCAAAGGCTCTTTCCACAAAGCAATGTCCTTCTTGACCTCCGCTAGAGAGACCGTGTAGGTTTGAAGCACCGCCCGCGCATGGCCTGGTGGGTCACTAACATCCAAGGGCATCTGGCTGCTCACAGGGTCGTTGATCTCCTTGGAGAGAGCTGCAAGTCGACAGTCCTTTGCCTGTCGTCTCAGGGCCACGTCATCCACCATAGCCAGCTCCTCCTCCAAGCTCTGCACCTGATCTTCCAGATACTGCAGCCATTGTCCATGTAGTAGCCCCATCTCAGCGCCAACCGCTTCCCTGGCAAGCTCCTGCTCCCACAGCGTCTTCCACCCCC